AGGTTTTTGGCATGCACAGTGCTAAGAGAAGCACAACATTATTTTAAAATCTCATTTTTCATGCAAGACTCTTGTTTTCGTTGGAAAATGCCTTCCATTTATGGAGGGGCTGTCCCCTGTTGGTTGGCTACCTCTGGTAGAAGAGGTAGAATAACATCTCTCAATATAAATGCCCATAATTGTTTTCTCATGCTTGCTGCTATTTGCTATGGCTTTGTTTTTTAGCTCAAAAGCATGCAGAGGAAATAGCTTAACCATCATACACCAATATTGCAAAACCTATTAACAGCCTCCCTATTAATTAAAGCATTAGGTGAGAGCACATTAAAGTGATTAAAACAAATTTTATCATAGCAGGGTATAAACTTACGAATCCTATTTTGATAAGAGTTATTTAAAAATAAGCACTTTTTTTCCCATATGAGGCATTTATAATGCGCAACAGAAGGGGAAAGAATAGTATATTCAAAACCCAAATAATAATGAATAGCAATAGCACTTAGACTTACTGTATATACTGTTTCACTGTGCTTTACAGCCCTCTCTAAGCGGTTTACAGAGTCCACATATTGCCTCCAACAATCTGGGTCCTCATTTTACCCACCTTGGAAGGATGGAAGGCTGAGTCAATGTTGAATGTTGTCAAAACCATTGAAAGTCATTTTTTTCTCTCTCTCTTCCCTCCCAGGAAACGACTGCAATATTCAATGTCTTGAAAAAGTCTATAGTTTGGAAGACCGACATAAGAAGTGGGGTTTAGATTATTTATGGGAGGTTTTATACTTAATTATATTGAAAGAACCGAGATGACTCCTAGACCTACTCCTCGGAGGATGAGAAAAACTATGTGGTTGCCAGTCACCATAATGTTTCTGATCTGAGGATTGATCATTCTTCAGATACTTTCTTCTATTATCAATATCTCTGAGAATAATTTTCTTGAAATTTGCCTTTGCAAATAAACCTACATTGTTAAAATGGAATGTCAAGAGTCACATCCACATTTGTGCTTTCTCCCCATTTCCCCATCTATTGGGTTAATCCTAGTAATCGGCATTATGCCGAGCTAAATACATTTGTAATATTACACAATATTGGCTTTGCTGGAAAGATTCCTTGGCTATCGGATGCTCAGTAAAACGTTGATTAGAGGCCTCCTGTTGTTTGTGTGTGTTGCCTTTTCCAGTATTTCTGCTTGGTCCACCACCTGGTGTATGCCACATAGCTTTTCTCTTCTTTTTTAAAAAAAATAATATTTCTCTTGTATAAGGTAAAGATTTCTGTATAAGGCTATATAAGGTAAAGACTTCACTCAAGTCAAGCTTAAAATTGGATGACTATATGGATGTGTATGTAGTTTTCTGACAAGAGTATGGAAGAGACTCCCCAAACACAGTTGTTTTCCAAGATATATTTTTCCAAATACTATTGTGAGATCTTGGTGATCTCTTATCCAAGGATCAGCAAAGATCAGTTTTGCACCAGCATCTGCTTTGAGGAACAAGTTCAGCCAGGCAATCTGAGGCAGGAAGAGAATGTGCCAAAATGAAATTCCAGAAGTCAGAGTCATTGAATTAGTTTGGGCAGATTTCCCTGCATGCAATCCTATTGCTGATATATTTTTAAGCAGTGGTAGGAGTGCAAACGTTTGATCTTGCTTAGGAGAATGAGTCATTTTCCGTGGTAAGAAATCACTAACTGGGTGAGGGAGAGATAAATAATAAATTATTGGCAAGGCTCAGGAGACCTTCAACTCCAGTAACTTGTGCTGATACTATCCTGTTTGACTGCTATCACCTGTCACTTATACCAAGCTGTTTGGAAAAAGAGAGCACAATGTATCAAAAGCTGGTTCATACTTTATGGGCAGTTCAGTTTGTGATTGGTACACAAATAGATAACACAAAGGCCTGGTTTTGTTTGGTTGCCAGTTGTTTATTTGAAAAGTATTAAGAGAGTAGTTTATGAAAGATTTCCAGCAAATAAGAACACCTCACCTGTTTATAATTTGAAAAGCACAATCCATCTCTATATAAAAATAGCTGTGTGTGTCTTTCTGTGTTCCAACAAAACTCTGGAACGTCTCGAGCAGTTTCAACCAAACTTGGTACACAGATGACTTACTCTCTTTAAAAAAATACTGTGGGGGTAAGACACCCTTAACCCCCCTTGAGGGGGGGTTTCTGTTAAAATACAGCCTTTTGTGCCTTAAAATGGCTTCTACTGTACAGCACAGTG